CACCAGGAGTGGAAGAACTGGAATCTGAACCTGGGTTTTCCAATTTTAAAGTGTCTTTTTCTTCATTCCCAACTTCCTGAGATAATAATTTATTTCATAAGAATCTTTTAAAAACTCGAGAAAACTTGTTAATGTTTATTGTTCCAGCCACTCTGTACATCTCCACCATCTCTGCAACAACGCATAAGCCTCTTATTGGCTTATGGCGACCAGCTATAAAACCATCTGCTTCACACAAATTGCTGTCCCAGGCAGCACCCTTTCTTTCTGCTCACGCATATATCTTCTTAAAGTGCAAATGTGATCATGTCACTTTCTTCTCTAAATTTTTTAGCAAGTCCTCATTGTCTATTCTTCTTTCAAAAACGTTTATTTGAAAATACTATAAAATAGAAAATTGTCCACGTTCATACTTCTTCAAAATTAATGTGTTAAGTTTCTGCTACCTCATTTCCATCCTATACCCCTTTACTCAATGGATACAATTATTCTCCTACATGTTCCTTCTGGCCATGTGTAGCTTTGTAATTTTAGTTTTAATCTATTTTGACCCTTTGTTATCTGGGATGAGGTAGAGTGATAATTTTATTTTCTCAGGTAATTATTTTCCTAATGCCCGTTTCTGAACAACCCACCCTTTCCTTCCAATTTAAAAATGCTGCAGCTTGTTTTAAATAGGCACACATATTTGACACATTTTCTGGAGAATTTATTTTGTCTATTTCATTATTCTTATATCATTATCGTATTATCTCAGTAGCTTTATGATAAGAATTAAGATCTACAATGCCAAATATCTATTCACTGTACCATTCTTCAGAAAATTATTTTTCAATCATCTCATATTTATTCATTCCTATAGAATTTAAAATCAACTTATCTAGTCCAACATTAAACCTCACACCCTAGAACAACAACATCATGTCGTAGTAATTCTGACTGGAATTGCTGGAAATTTATAGATGAATTTAGGATGCATTGGCCTCTTTAAGATAGAAGATTTTTATTCATCAGTGCATGTTACTCCATGTATTTAGGTTTTATTTTGTGCCCTTAGGGAAACTAAATACTGTGTTCTTCATATCGTTCTTGTATTTTCTTGGTAAATTTAATAAAATATTTTATAATTCATTACTTTTTCACATTTTATTACTTAAATCCTCCGTGGCTCTTGAATATTGACAGCTGCTAAGACTTCTGATGCTCCCTCTCATGGTCCTGGAATACGGAAGGCCAGAGGACAAAAGAGACTGAGTGGCCATCATTCCGTCTATCACAGGTATAAAGTGTCATCAACAGCGGCACGTAATAATTTTGAATTTTCTATTAAAAAGAAACCCTTTCCAAACATAATTTTCACCCAGCCCCATTGTCCTCTCCATTGGCTTGGGGGCTGTGAGCCGCCGTGTATGCACAGGTGCCCTCTGTGACCTCATTTATACCTTCCTGAATGAGGACTCAGGGGACTCAGAGGCTGGAGCAGGGTGGAGCTGGAGTGGATATGGAGGTCGTCAGACCTGTCCTCCTCAGTCCTTGCAACTGAACACCTCTTCTGTATTCAGGAGATTTCACAGCAGACTCCGGCTTAAGATGGCAGATTTTTCAACATATCAGATAGCTCGATTTTTTTTTTTTTTGATCATGCCTCAGTATAATTAAAGAATCTATTATTTCATGGGAGACAGAATTCTACAAATTTCTTCTGTTATTCCGGGAGAAATAATAAGTCATTGCAGAACACATTTTCTCATTTGGCATTGCTTTGGTAAAGCATCGTGTTGCCAAATGATAAAAGCGGCTTTTTGAAAGTGGAGACCTTGGTTCAGATTTCTCAAGTATATCTGCACTGACACATTTGCATTTTCAGTTACTGAAGAGTTTCCTCCTTTCAGAAGTATCTTCCCAAATTGCCAACAGAGAGGCCCTGGTGTTTGTGGAAACAGAAGGGCTTTTCCTTTGATGTAATCTCAAAGCAGTTTCAACACAATTGAACACCTGGAAATTAAAAAAAAATACAGTTCTCTGAATACTTTTCCTGGTAATTTAGACAAGCCTGCTGTTTTCTCTTCCTGCTTTTTTTTCCATTTCCCTTTTCTGTTGGTGCTTTTCAAGAATTACTGCCTTAGAAGAAAACAGGTAATTTATGAGGAAAAAGTACAAACTATCAGATGTCACAAAACCTATATTCAAGGACTTCCAAAAAAGCCAGAAGATCAAATTGCTAGTTCAAAGTTGTTGGATTGCTAGTCATGTCATGAGGATCAGAAGGCTGAGATTTTTGTAGAAGCTTAGACCAGTGTGATAGCACTGGTTGGATCAAGATATTTGCTGAAGGGACTAAGCTCATAGTGACTTCGCCTGGTAAGTAATTTTTTTTTTCTGTTGTTATCCCAGTAATGAAAAACAGTTAGATACTTTTTAGAAAAAAATGATCAACCTTATCTGAATCTGTCACATCTCTGGCCTCAGTATACGAACAGCAATTTTTCAGGTTAGCTGAACATGGAAACAAAACGATTTTGTACATAATATCTTCCCTTCCCTGTCTGTAAGTGGATTAAAATTCTACTTTTAGAATACACACACACTAACACACACACACACCTAACACACACACACACACCTAACACACACACACACACACACACGGTAGACTCTGGAGAGAAATTAAAATGTTTTGAGGACCATGTCTGTAAACCATTGCTGCAAGTCCTTCGTCCAAGATAATTTTTTGTAGGTCTTTTAAGCGAGAGACATAAAAATGGAATTTCATTAATTACTTCTTCTCTGTATTTTGAGATACAACATAGTTCTTCCTTCTTCTGCTAGCCTGCCAAATCCATGTTACTGATTTTGATCTCATCCTGAGACGCAGTACGGAAAAAATTACTTAGTATAGTAAATTACTATAGAACTTCAATATATCCCACTTATTAGTGCTCTAGTTTCTTTGAGGGAGGCTGAAGTCAGTCAAAATTTATGCTATTGGGACTCTTGTTATATCACCTGGAAGTGGCCCAGTTTAACAGAATTTGTAAGTTCAACCAGCCATGTCAGCTCCAAGGTCAATGAAAAGAGTCTTCCTGATTTTACATCTTCATTTCTTCATTCATCCTCTCAGCAAATAGTTACTGAAAACAGTTTTTGTTCTGAATGCTGGAGATAAAAGGGCAAAGAAGCACAGTCTCAACACTCAGAAGCTGCCAGTCTGGCAGATAAGTATTCTAGATTCTGGTTTGGTTGGGCCCTGCCCATGTTCTTTGACCTGTGGCTGCCGGAGAAGCAGAAGGTCTTGGGTTCATGAGCTTGTTTTGTTTCTTAATTTATGTAGCAGTTATTGCTTATAAGATCTATGTATTGTGTTTGGTGGGTGGATTTGATAAAATGACCCGATATTGTTCCTTTAAGGAGAAAATTAATATTAGTACAGTTTATTGAGAGCCAGACACCATGGTAAATAGTTTCAGTGCTTTATCTCCTTCCTCATCAGACCTATGCAGGAGATCCTCTTAGTCCCATTTCACAGATGAGGAAACTGAGGCCTAGAGAAGAGCAGTTACTTTCTTAAAGTCACATGATTAGTCACTGTGGCAACGACTGGGATCTAGCTAAGGCTATCTGTTTCCAAGTGCCTGGTCTGGACCCTTATGTGATATTTAGCATTATTAAGTCATAGTTTTATACTTTGAATATTTCCTCTTCTGTAGCTTGACCCTATGAATGGACTTTTTAGTTGACTATTTTTCTTGTACCAACTTCCAATTTGTATTACTATTTGTGTATTGATATAATTATTCTACTTCTAATTATGGCACTGAAATGACCTCTCTCTCCTCCAAAAAGTCATATGGAATACGCATGCATAAAATATTCAAAATATAATTTTTACAGTATTTCTATAGAATGAGTCGTTTTGACATCATTCCGCTCAGTTGTCTTTCTGTATTGGCATCAAATTTGCTAGATATGTTGAAACTGATGAAGGAGCTATTGCAGCTATGCTGTATTGCAGTGCTAAGTTGCGTAACTCAAGCTGCCTCAGATTCTCTGTGGAGTAGCACACGATTTAATTCAATGAAACTGTAAGGGTATTTTCAAGTCAAAAGGAGCAGTCTTTCAGCAATGAATCATCATTAAGAATTCATATTTTGTAACAACTTATCTGGTATTCTATCAATGAGAACTGGATTCTAAAAAGAAGTTACTCTATTTATTTTTATTTTTATTTTTTGAGATGGAGTCTCGCTCTGTCACCCAGCTAGAGTGCAGTGGCACCATCTCTGCTCACTGCAGCCTCCGCTTCCCCGGTTCAAGAGATTCTTCTGCTTCCGCCTCCTGAGTAGCTAGGATTACAGGCACCTGCCACCAAGCCCAACTAATTTTTTTTTTTTTTTTTTTTGTATTTTTAGTAGAGATGGGGTTTTACCATGTTGGCCCGGCTGGTTTTGAACTCCTGAGCACAAGTGATCCACCTGCCTCAGCCTCCCAAAGTGCTAGGATTACAGGCATGAGCCACCATGCCTGGCCAAAAGGAAGTTACTTTAGAATCAATCTAGATACCCATTCCTCCATACATATGAATCACAAAATACCTATAAATCATATTGAGTATCTGTTTACTGAATGTCAAACATAAGAATCCTATTACTGTCTGTCTTTGAAAATTAAGGAAATATTAACTCTAAATTACACTTAAGACAAATTGTATACATGAAAACTCTTTAGGGAATATTTAGAAGATTCAGGTAAAATCATGAGAAAAGTTAAAATCAGACTCTCTAATGTATGTGATACAAGGAGAGAACGTACATAACCCAAAGTGCCCAGGGCAGGGTGAGGTCAGTTCTTAAGTTCCTGATTGCATTCAGAACTATTATGATTTTGTTTGACCTTTGTCTTGACTTATCAGCCAATTTTTATGTCTTTATGTAAATATTGAAAAAAATGCTGGCAAAATTTTAAGACAAACACAAAGGTAAATTCTTGTAAAGGCTTCTCAGGTGGTGGGCAACAGTTTGGCAGAAAAGTCAAGCTATTTGGTCCCGGAACAAAGCTCATCATTACAGGTAAGTTTTCTTTAAATTTTGCAATGTAGAGAAGGGATGGGAGGCAGGCAGGAGCTGGCTCAGAATTCTAGGATTCCCTCCTGGTTTGGTCACTAATCATGGTGAAATCTACAGAGAGGTCAGGTGACTTGGTTCATGCCATGGGAGTCAGAACTTTTCCAGCCCTAGCATGGGAGACATTACTAAGGAGCTTAGACCAACTGCAAATCTCTAAAGGATGGAGGCCTTATGTTCCACTGGTATCTCTCTGTTAAAAGTTTTGTGAACAAGTTTAGTTTAGAGATTTTATTTCTTCAATTCTAAAAATAACCAATGGAAAAAAGTAAAAAAAGTAAAGAAAAAAAAAATTTCAGCTACCCTCCTCATTTGGTCACTGAAAGATGAAATATTTAATAATTTGACCAAAGAATGATTACTATCAAATGTCAAAATATTTCACGGTGTGACCATATTTAAAAGTGACATAAGCTGCATTTGTTGTTATTTAAATTGGTCCAATGAGTTTGTTTATTATTTGTTAGCTTAAGCTTAAAGATGTAATTTTGCCTGGATGAGAGAAAACATCTCATAGAGATACTCTTGGTCTATTAGGTCCACTGAAATGAAAGTTTTCAGAGAATATTCACAAAGTTGATAAAGCATTGAAAAAAATGAAAGCAGTTTTATAGTTTTATTTCTTTAATGCTTGAGATCATATGATAAAATTAACTTATAAGTTAAAAAGTGACCTTCTGATTCTCTTTTATCCAGTTGACTTAATGTGAATGGTAGCAATCAAAGTCATAATTTGTAGTTTTCTGAGAAGTGATTTTTCAGGAAAGTGCGGTGCAGGAAAAGGTATGGACTTTGTTTCTCGATGACTCCTGGGGCTGCCACTTTCTATGTAACTGCCCTTTAGGAAGTGTATTTTGATTCACCAAGTATTCAAATTATAAAAATGCTGGTTCATTATAGAAAAATTGGAAAACACAAAAATAAACAAAAAATTATAATTTGATATTGACCCTCATCACATTATCTGTTAACTTTTATTTAAACATTTTTTTCTATGCTTTTTGTTTGTTTGCTTTACAAAGTTGGAATCATAGACTAGACACACAATAATAGATCTGGCTTTTTCACTTCACACTACTTCATAAACATTCTTTTCAAATGTCCTTAATATTTTGCAATAACAGAGCAAAGTTGAAAGTTCCGATTTCAAGTTGATCTGTACAATGAAAGTAATGGAGATTATTTATCTCGAAGGAATGTTGTATATATTACATGAAATTAAATATGGAAATTACCCACCAGAATGCCTGGCACTTGGTAGGTGATAGAAATATTAATTCCTCTTCCAGAATTCAAGTTACTACCCATGAGAGGTCTTTATACACTCAGGAATAAGACAAATGTATCAACCCCACCTATTCAACAGCTCACTTCAGAACAAATATCACTATTTGTAAAATGC